ATCTCGGTCTGTTGCCCAGGCTGGAGTGCAGTGGGTCACCATAGCTCACTGCAGCCTCAAACTCCTGGGCTCAGGCCATCCTCCTGCCTCAGCCTCCCTAGTAGCTGGGAGGAGGCTCCAGCCATGCTGGGCCGATTTTTCTATTTTATTTTATTTTTTTGGTAGAGATAGTGTCTCACTATGTTGCCCACGCTGGTCACAAACTCATCCCCTCAAGCCATCCTCCCGCATCCTGGAATCACAGGTGTGGCCACTGCTGCTGGCTGCCACTTTTTGGTGATAGTTACGCGAGTTTCTGCACGTTTCCCCATCATTAACCACCTTCTGGTCTGTGCTTTCCAACTACATGCCCTGGACTGCCCACGGCTGATTTTGAAATAAGTTAAAGGACAGGAAAAGCCATCAGAAAGCGGCAGCTTCCCTTATGCGCTCCACCGCCGCTGGGAAGGCGTACTGGTCACCGGTCTGGTTCTGTCACGTTCCTCAGATGGACCGTCACCCTGTGACAGACGCCAGAGGGACCTGAGCACCCCCCTTCCTGCCTTTACAGACGAACACGTTCTCACCCCAGCAGTACAATTCTCCTTGGAACATAAGCAAGCAGCCCCTTCGCCCGCTCGGCGACCCGCGTCCTGGGAGGTCCGCCGCGCTGGTTGCCGCAGGTGCGCGCCTTCTCCAGGCCTTACGGTAAACGCGGCACGCAGGGCAACCACGTGGCGGCGGAACCGAGGCCCGGCGGGAATGCGTGGAATGCGCGGCGCGGCCTCGCGCGGCTCCGGGGCCACAGCCCGGGGTCCCACGGCGCGCGCTCTCCCCCTGCCCCTCGCCCTGGCCCGGCCCGGCCACGTGGGACTCGCTGGGGCAAGACGAGCCCCGCGGAACACCCCAGAGGGGCTCGGGGACCAAGCGCGGCCCATTGGTCCCTCGGACCCCGCGAGCGCAGAATTCCGCAAGGGGGTCTGTCCGGCCACCAGCCCCTACGGCGGGGGCCGAGGGACCCCGGGGGAGGGGTGCAGGGCGTTAGGTAGGCAACCCCCCTTCCCCTCCCCTGCTTGGTAAGTGTCCAGAGACCCAGAGCTCGGAGGTTCCCCAATAATAACGACCCCGGCCCTCGCTGCCCCCACCCCCAGGGACAGGCCTCTCCGGGATTTCCAAGGCTGTAAGGAGCAGGGTGGAGAGGCGCGGAGGTGCGGGGTCTTCCCCGCAGACAGCCTCCTGGAAGGGCAATGGCGGTGGGCGCGGTGGGGAGCGGGTATGAAGGGACAAATCCCGGGGTCTAGGACGCCGTGGGAGCCCACGAGGGTCTTAGCGTGCATCCTCTGACCCGAGTCGTCGCCGCAGGTTTCGTAGGCCCCGCGAGTCCCGGGCGGCGCGGAGGTCGCTGAGCTTCGGGTGGGCCCCGGCCCTGCTGGACCGCGGGAGACGAAGGCGCGCGTGACCTCCGAGGTCATGACCCCCACCCCCACCCGATTGCTTTACTTTGGTTGGAGGAGATTTTCTCCTGGACCCGGGCGCCTACTTCCTGCCACTGGGTCAGAAACGGACCTGGGCCAGAGCCGGAAGGCCAAGGAATTGCCAGTGGACTTTGGGGTTCACGCCGGCCAGGGCGCGAAGCAATGCGTTTTGAGGGCGGGGGTCGAGGAACTAGAGTCTCATTCACCCCCAAGAATTGCGCCTTCACCCTCGGAATCTCAGATGCGTCGTTGGAGCCGGTGCCCTCCCCCGCTACCTTTTGGGTTTGCTTTTTTAACCCCCGCGCACTCCTCGTCTGCAGCCTTCAGAGCTGGAGGAGGGGTCCCCTTTCCACGCAGCCAGCCGGGCGGATGACTAGGCGCGGGGGCGCATGGCTGTGTGTTAATTAATAGCTGAAATTAATTGATCGGGGATGGAAACGCACGTCCGCGGCTTGGGGCCATGGGGGTGGGGCTGCCCACGTTCCCAGCGTGTGGCTGCCCCGATGGGCACCCGAGCCGGAGTTCGTGCCGGCCCACCCCGCACCTCTGGGGCGCCGGGGATCGGCGCCGCGGAGCTCCGGCTGAGTCGCCGCAACACGTGGGCCGCCACGCGCACCCCAGAAGCGAGCGGCGTGGGGGAAGGGAGGCCCGAGCGCCCCCGGAACCCCGGGGCCCGCATTCGGAAGCGTTTTCCCGGGCGACTTAAGGGCTTAACAATGGAAAACTCGCAGAGCAGGAGCCAAGTCCTTTCAAGTTGCCGCCAGGTATGCGGCTGCAGGTGACCCCACCTGGGTGCGCCCGCCTGCCAGCCGCCCAGGCCCTCCAGGGGGAAGGGCGGGTGCCGGAAGTCGCCCACGGAACGTCGGCTTTGGGACCCGCACCCCCCAACTCCCCTCCCCGAAGCCCCCCGCCCGGCGGCGTGCCGCGGCGGAGCGTCCCGGGGTCTGCGCCGCGGCGCGCCGGTTCCTGAATGAACGCGCTCCCTTCCCCCGCTTGAATGGAGGTTCCCACAGCCAGGGACGGTGGCAAACGCGCCTGCAGCGGAATTCGCCCTCTCTGGGCCGGCCGTCCGCCCCGGCCGCGGTCACCCGGGCGGGGGCCCAGGGGCGAGGAAGGCAGGACGGTGATTTAAGTTACGTTTGGATTTTCCTTCCAACCAACGTGGTTACCCCTCCCGACTGGGCCACGGGCCCTTTGTCTCCTAATGGTCGCCAAGAAAAAAAGCGCAGAGCACTTTAAACGAGCCCAGACTCCGCAGTTCCTGCTTCTTGGTGGGGTTTTAAAAGACTGTGCAAAGTTAAAACTGCAACAAAAAAAGTTTTTAAAAGTTGCTTTTCTCTTTGGAAAAATATCAAAATGCTTCCTCTGCGCTCCTTGAAGCAATGGCCCCCCAAAGTCCGGGGCAACTGGCCCCCGCAGGGGCTCCAGGGGCCGCCCGGCAGGATTCCCCAGGGTGGGGGCTGGGCGGCTGGCGCTCCCCGCTGGGCCCCAAATTCCTACGCCTCCCCGGCCGGTTCCTGGACGGCTCTGCACGCTCGCCGGCCAGGCTTGCACTTTTGCGCCCGTCCCTGAGCTGGGAAATCAGCGCAGTTCCTCGTCGAGATCTGCCCGGCCCGCCTAGTAACAGCGCCGCGGCCCCATTGGCTCATGCTAATTCCAGTTTCCTCCGGCGCTCTCCCGGGAGCGGGGGGAAGTTCCCTCCTGGACCCGGAGCCCGCTTTGCCGGAGTGGGCGAGCCTCTTTATGCCCCGCTGCCCTCGCCCGCGCGGGCCCGCCTCGCGCCTCGGGCTGCGGCGCGGCGCACGCGGGGCCCGGGCCCCCGCGCCCCCCGGGACCGGAGCCGCCGGGCGATGGAGCGCGGCCCCATAAATCACGCGGGCGGCCGCCCGGTCGGGATTTTATGAATGAAAGAGCGGCCGGGCCGCCCTCGTGCGCGGGCTGATGCTGCGAGGCTTGGCTGTGCCCGCGCCAGCGCGAGCCCGGGCGCCCGGGGAGGGGGGCGCGGCGGCGGGCGCTCCCTGCTCGGGCCGCCCGCCGCCTCCCGTGCGGGGGCCGGGGTGACTGCCCGGGGACCGGGGTGCCAGTAACCCTGACGCCCGTGGGGGAGGGGCGCGGGAGGAATCTGCCCTGGGGGTGGTCCCGCCGTGCCGGGCGCACCCTGGGCCCGCCGAGGTGGCTTTTTAAATCCGTTCCCTTTGAGCCTGTACCGCTGGGGGGATACAGCGGTTTGGGGACAGTAAAACTACGTTCGGAGGGAAGTTAATGAACAGTTGTTTTTTCCCTTTGGGGTACTGTAAAAACTAAAAGAAAATGACTAAAAGGTCCTTTTACTTTAATAATAAAAAAAAAGCACCAAAGAGTCAGAACTTCTAACTTAAAAACACATACTTTATTTACATACCTTTGTGATAATATTGGGGACCCTGTCGAATAACCGGGAACACCTATAGATGGTGTTAAAAATCATCAGATCAATACACCCGTTTGTTTAACTGGTAATTGTCCCGATTTTCGCCGCGCCCTGCCGGCCCCTGGAGCCCGCGCGTGCACCCCGGGGCCAATTCCAAAGGTGAGGGGACGTCCACACCCCCCGCAAAACCAATTAGGAAGCTTCCGGTGGTCGCGTCCCCGGCGGGGACCCGACTACTCCCAGCGTTTTAATTTCTGTGTTAATCACAAGATGCGTCAGTACAGGGGCCACGGGTTCTCGGCCTCCCATCCGGAGGTGTGTGTCTCCGGCGGGGTTGCGGGCACGGGGAGGGGGGCGTTCGGGGAGCCCCGCAAAGATGGACTGGTCGAGGTAGGGCGACAAGCCCGGAGATTCCCCGGGCGAGGACAGGATGAAGGAAATGCTGGCCACCATCTTGGGCTGCTGCTGGAATTTTCGGGCATTTATTTTATTTTATTTTTTGAGCGAGGACGAGCTAGGTAGAAACCCCCTTAGAACATCTGGGGTTGCCCCGTGGGGCGTCTGCAGCAACCCCCCGGTGAGCCGCGATGAGCCCGCCGGGGTCGTGCGCTCTCGCCGGCGTCCCTGCGTGCTGAATGCTTCCTGAATTTTACACGTGTTAATGAAAATGAAAGGAGACGCGGACGCCGAGGTTCCTCGGCCGGCTCCCCGCCCGTGGGTGCCCTCGTGGCGTTCCCAGAAACGCGCCCATTCTGCCGGCTGGGACCTGGGGTGTCGCCGCGCCTCGGATTCACCCCTCCGTGCGGTCTCCCCAAGGCTGCGTGTGGCCTGCCCGCCCTCCCAGCTGTCCCCCAATGCACTGACACCCCCACCCCACCCCCAGGTCCCGGGGGACCCACTCGGGGAGGGCGGGCCCCTGCACCCCTCTTCCCCGCCGGGGAGAAAGGCTGCCGCGGGGCGATTTGCATTTCTATGAAAACCGGACTTCGGGGGCAACCGGGCTGCGGGGCGGGCGCGGCGCCTCCGGGATGGCTTTTGGGCTCTGCCCCTCGCTGCTCCCGGCGCTCGGCGCCCGCGCCCCCTCCCCCTGCGCCCGCCCCCGCCCCCCTCCCATTCTCTGCCCGGCTTTGATCTCTGCTTAACAACAGTAACGTCACACGGACTACAGGGGAGTTTTGTTGAAGTTGCAAAGTCCCGGAGCCTCCAGAGGGCTGTCGGCGCAGTAGCAGCGAGCAGCACAGTCCGCGCGCTCCGGCGAGGGCAGAAGAGCGCCAGGCGGCCAGCGCGAGAGCCGAGCGCGGACCGAGCCGGGACCCACAGCCCCCGCAGCCACCCAGGCAGAGCCCACCATGGAACACCAGCTCCTGTGCTGCGAGGTGGAGGCCATCCGCCGCGCGTACCCCGATGGCAACCTCCTCAACGACCGGGTGCTGCGGGCCATGCTCAAGGCGGAGGAGACCTGCGCTCCCTCCGTGTCCTACTTCAAGTGCGTGCAGAAGGAGATCCTGCCGTCCATGCGGAAGATCGTGGCCACCTGGATGCTGGAGGTGCGGGGCTGCGGGCGGCTCTCCTAAGACTCCCCGACAACTTGTTGCCCAAACCCACATTTCTCTGCTCCCCGTGTCCCTCCCTTCTCTCCCGCTAGGACTTTGAAGTTTGCTGGGATGTTGCTAGGAATCCGTATTTTCAAAATAAATAGATATTGTGGGTATTTTTTGAACGAGGAAAGGGTGGGGGTGGGGGCGTTAGAAATTCCCTTTCCTGGTGGGGGGAGGGAGGCGGTCAGGGAGGGGTGCCATCGGGGAAGCCAATGCCAGGGGTACCCCAGTGGGCCCGAGGGTGCGGGCTGGCAGTCTGGACGCACTCTGAGGCCCCCGCCTGCTCCCCAGCCCCGCTGCGCCTCCTCTCCCGGCCGCCGCGGCCCCGAGCCGCCAGCTCCGGGGGGAGGGGGCATAGATTTGATTTTTAAATTAATATCCAGGGACACGTATGCAAGGGCTGCTCGAGCCAGTATTATGCGCCATCTTTGCTCTTTTATTGCAAAGCAAAAGTGTTTATTAATAATTGGGAGCAGGGTGGGGGCGGGGAGCGACCGGCCCCGCGCTGGGGCCGCTGCGAGGGGCCGCGCGGCCGCCGGGAGCCTGCGCAAGGGGAGCGGGGGGGAACTGGCATGGGTAGTTTGGGGGGAACCCTGCTTGGAAAGGGGGAGACCCTTTGTTCAAGCAGCGAGCCCTGGGGCGCCCCGCACGGGCAGCCTGGGCCGGAGAGCACGCCGGGCTGCAAGGTCGCGTGGCCCCCAAGACGCCAGAGATTGACCCCCGGCTGCAGGGGTCTTGGCTTGGGGGACCTTCCCTGAGCAAGCTGGGGGCCCGGGGCACATTTTCAGGCCTTCAGTGGGCGCCTGAGGGGCCCGCAAGTATTTTTAAATAATTTTTGAAAGTGCGGCATGGTGCCCTTGCGAGAGGGAAACGGCGCCCGCGCCCAGGGGAAAGGGGGGCCCCGGAGTTTGAATTCCTAGGACTCTCACCCGAGCCCGTAACGAGCTCCCGACCCCTGGCCTGGGTAAAGGACCGTCCGAGGGTCATTTTCAGCGGTTTTGTACGCACCCAGTTATTTTTTTAATATTTTTAAATATTTTTTGAAAAGATGACGTCTGGGGAAATGCGGCGCGGCGGCCTGGGACGCCACCTTTGTGTCTCGCAGGCGCGGCGCCCAGCCCCGCGGCCCGCCCCGCGGCCCCGCACCCGGGCGGGTGCCGACCCCCGGCCGGGCGCACCCCGGAGCGCCACCGCGGGCCGGGGTCCCCGGGGTCGGCAGCCGCGCACGCCGCCCGGTCGTGCCCGCTCCCGCCCCCGCCGTGCCAGCCTCGCGGGGACTTTCCCTTTCAGTTTCGGGGAGGCTGGGTACTGGGGACACGTGGAGAGGGTGCGCATCCCAGGAAGCCCCTGTCGCCCCCTGCCCCGACCCCTCCGCGCCCGGGGACTGGCGGCGCGGCCGGCGGGTGGGGGTGCGCGTCGCCGCGGCGGGGGGGCCGGCGCTCCCTGGCGGCGGCGGTCACGGGCCGTGCCCCGCAGGTCTGCGAGGAGCAGAAGTGCGAGGAGGAGGTCTTCCCGCTGGCCATGAACTACCTGGACCGCTTCCTGTCGCTGGAGCCCGTGAAGAAGAGCCGCCTGCAGCTGCTGGGGGCCACCTGCATGTTCGTGGCCTCCAAGATGAAGGAGACCATCCCCCTGACCGCCGAGAAGTTGTGCATCTACACGGACAACTCCATCCGGCCCGAGGAGCTGCTGGTAACGGGGGCTCCCCTCCGCCGTGGGCACCCCGATAGCCGTGGGCACCCCGATAGCCGCCGGGCAGGCCGCGGTGGAGGGAGGCGCAGATGGCAGGAGACGCGGCCCTCTGACAGATCTGCCCCGAGGGAGGAGGGAGCGCGGCCACACCGCTCGCTCCTCGGGGCTTCTGTCGGAGGGGCGGGATGCCGGCGCCCCCGGCCCGCGCCCGCACACTTCGCCCGCCGACTCCCACCGCGTGCCGACTCCCACCGCGTGCGAGCCCGTGGCCCAAAAGTGGGCGGCGCGCGCCCTCTAGCGGCGGCGCGGTAGCCGCGCTCGCTGCTGCGCCTCGGGTCCAGGTGGTGGGAGGTCTTTTTGTCTCCACTTTGCGGACAGGCTTTCTTCCCGGTACCTTTTCCGGTTTTGATCTGGAATCGTGTGTTACCCCCCAGCATTGGCCATCATCCTTCCTCTCCCATCCCCAAGACTGCTAACCAAAGGCTGAGGCCGGAGACCTGAGCCCGCGGGGTCCCCAGGCCCCTTCCTCCCTGGCCTGACGCCCGTGCCCCGGTCTCCGCAGCAAATGGAGCTGCTCCTGGTGAACAAGCTCAAGTGGAACCTGGCTGCGATGACCCCGCACGATTTCATCGAACACTTCCTCTCCAAAATGCCCGAGGCCGACGAGAACAAACAGATCATCCGCAAACACGCGCAGACCTTCGTGGCGCTCTGTGCCACAGGTAGGGCAGGCCTGGCACCCACCCCAGCCGCCCCTGAGAAGGACCGTCAGGGCAGGCCTGGCGCCCGGGTGGCCCCGGCCAGTTTCTTGATCTGTGCCTGGGTCTGCCCGCCCGCCTGTCCGGGGAGACCGTCCCACACCCTCTCCTGCTCTGGGAAGAGCTCCTCTTCCTGTGAGCTGGGACTGTTGCACCTAGGTGGAGGGTGGGTCGCCCTCTCCCGGCCATCGTCTGGTGCCTTGGGGACGGGGTGGATGGCCCAGCCTGCCTGCGTCTAGCTGCCGTGGCGTCCCTGCCCGGGCCAGGCGGCTTGTGTCCGCTCCATCCTGAAACGGGTTTACCTTGGCCTGGGGTGGCCTCCTCCCCCCACCCATCTCCAGGCGTTCTTGTGTCCTCAAGGAGCCTGAGCTGTGGGGGCCCCCTCCTGGCCTCTCCCGGGCTGGGCCACCTGCCAGGGGCGCCTGCACCACGTGCTCCTGCAGCCGAGTGCGGGGGCGTCCAGCAGAGGAGCTCAGAGGCCTGAGGCCCCGCTAGGGGCCCTGTGGACAGGCTGGGTTCCGCCGAGCCCTGGGAGGGGCTGCAGTCAGCCTGGGCTTGGGCCACCAGGGTTGGCAGCAGAGGACCCCAGCCCTCCCTTTCCCTGCACAGCCCCTGGAGGCCCCTCCCTGGCACTGCCCTGGCCCCAGACCCCAGGCAGCCAGACTGTCGGAACCCAGTATGGACAGACACACAGCCCACCGGGCCGCCTCCTGCCCCCAGCCTAGCCCTGACCTCTTCCTTCCCCAGCCAGGAGGCCCAGTTGCCCTGCTAGGGGGACTCATGCCCCCATCCCACCCAGCTCTGCCATGGACCAACTCTCACCCTGGTCAGGCCTCGGTTGTCACATCTGTTTGGGGACTCACTCTGGAGGGGCTCACCTGAGGGCCATCAGACAAGGTGGCGCAAGGGGACAGTTGGCATCTTCTTCCATGTCCCCAGGGGGGCAGAACCCCCAAGCCTCTCAATGTACCCCCTGACACTGGGTAGCCCTGGCAGCTGATATTCCAGAACAGTGTGTGTTTAGACGAGAGCTGGGAAGATTCCTTGTGCCTCCTCTCCTTCCTCCACCTGCTCAGGGCATGGACCCCTCCCTGGAGTCCTTCCAGGCGAGGCCTAGGGGGGGTGGCGCAGATGGGGGTGCCAAGGACATCATCAGCCTGGATGGATGGGAGGGTGGGGCTGGGCTGGGCCTGCAGGCGGCAGGGAGGCGTGCTCTGGCTGGGGCGCCTTGGAGGAGAGAGGCCTCCAGAGACTCCAGGCAGCCTTTTATGGAGCTGAAAGTGGTTTAGAGAAACGGCAAAGTTTCCTGGAGATAATGCAAGGAACGGTTCTAGCACGGCCTCCCTCCCGGGTGGCTCAGGCAGCTGGAGCACCCCTCCCAGGACCCTGGGTGCTGGCAGCAAGGTGAGCAGGCAGAGGCTGCAGTGGGGCTCTCTCCTCTCCGCGCTGCTGCCTGTCGTTTGGGACAGGCCCAGCAGGCGCCCCCAGCGGCAGGTAAAAGCGGAGGATTGGGCCGGGCGCGGTGGCTCACGCCTGTAATCCTAGCTCTCTGGGAGGCCGAGGCGGGCGGATTGCTTGAGGTCAGGAGTTCGAAACCAGCCTGAGCAAGAGCGAGACCCCGTCTCTACTATAAAATAGAAAGAAATTAATTGGCCAACTAATATATATACAAAAAATTAGCCGGGCATGGTGGCGAATGCCTGTAGTCCCAGCTACTCGGGAGGCTGAGGCAGGAGGATCACTTGAGCCAGGAGTTTGAGGTTGCTATGAGCTAGGCTGACGCCATGGCACTCACTCTAGCCTGGGCAACAAAGCGAGACTCTGTCTCAAAAAAAAAAAAATAAAAAAATAAAAAAATAAAAAAAAAAAAAAAGCGGAGGATTGCTCAGGTGACCCAGTGCTCCCAGTGGTGGTGCTCACTCCAGGATGAGCCGGTGGGGGGGCAGCACGTGTCTGCCAGGCCCCTGCCTGGCCTGAACTCTGCCCCGTGGGGTGCTCCCTGGGCCCTGCCTGCCCCACTGAACGTAATTGCCGTACAAGCCACTGTGCACATCTGTCCAGGTGAGAGTGACATAAGGACAGGTGAGGTGGAGGCATCCTGTTCTTGTCCTCCTCGTGGTAAGGGTTACCTTTGAGGGTGGTGGGAAGGGCGCTGCTCCCCTTTCTCCCTGCCTGGGCCCCCCAGCACACGCAGGGCTCCCAAGCATCACACAGGGTTGGGTTTTCGTGTGCACACACACCTGTGCACGCCAGAGCCTTTCTCTGCGCCTCAGTAGGCTGGGAAGGGAAGGTCCAGTGCCGTCTGAAGTGGACACGACCTTGAGCTTCACGACCATGCCCTGGCCAGGGCCGGCAGTGGCTCGGCGCTCTGGTGGCCGCTGCGGCTGTGGCTGACCCTGCTGACCAGGCAGCTGAAGGAGCTAAGTCCTGGAGCTTTGGTGCTTAACACTGGACTCGTTCCTTACCCGGACATGGAAGGCCACGCCCGCCCGGGCACACACACGAGTAGGGGACACGGGCTTTGGAGTCAGGCTGGCCCCTGTGACTCCACCCATAGAGGGGTCTCAGTGCAGGACCAGGCGGGACCCACCACTCCCTGCAGAAGCGGTTCTGTGTGTGGTCCTCCAGTGGGAAGGTTTCCATCCACCGCCCTGGCTCCCACTGGGTGGACTCCCCCATCTAGAGGGGAAAGGTGGCTTGCCTTGTTAGTCTTTTTTTTTTTTAAGTCATTGCGTGGTTGCCTTTCTTCCTGGCTGCTCACGGGAACCCCTCCCTAACAAGCCCCAAGTGGTTATTCTGCTGGGGCGAACTCCTTTTGAGCCCAGTTCAGCCCTGTTCGGCTCCTCTGAGCCCCCTTGTTCCTGAACACTGGCGTGAGATGAGGCCATGGGGCCGAGAAGATGCCACACTTGTCCCCAGTGGTGTCCAACTCCAGCCCCTGGTTTGTGTGCTGAAATTGGTGGCTGCCCCCACCAGTAATTCCTCAGTGGGTGCAACAGGAAGGCAGCCAGAGGCTCGTCCTGGGTGGGGGCCAGGCCGAGAGGCCACAGCCCACCTTGCTGGCCCGCCCTCCCTCGTGGGCCCAACCTGCCCTGGTGCGGGGGGGGGCGGGGGGGGGGAGGCCAGCGTCCCACCCACAGACAGGGCACACCTTCTGCTGCAGAGGTGGCCTTCAGTCTGCCTGAGGAGGGAGCTGTGATGGGACCCCCTCACCCCCCCCCCCCCGCTCCTGTGACCTGGGGGGATCTGAGAGCAGTGAGCGAGACAGCTTTGTGTGGGTGGCAGGCTGTGGCCGCCCTGGCTTTGCACTGCCCTGGGCCCAGGTGTGCCAGACAGTCCCCAGGAAACCTAGGGACAGAGGGTTCCTAGGCCAGCTGGGGTCTGGGCTAGGTCTCTTGAGAGTCCACACTTCCCCACCCTGCACCCCACTTGGGGAGGCCACGGGCAGCTCCCTCTTAGCTGCCTGCCCCCACCCCCCACGTCCCAGAGAGGTGGTGTACAGCCCCACGTGGTGGAAACCATGTGCCTCTTCCCTAACTCAGGAGGTCGCTGGAATTGTTGGGCTACATCAGGTGGCCCAGGAAAGCCCTTTTGTCACCAACCAAAAAACAAAGGTGTGAGTAAAGGGCCTTGTTCTTATGGCGAGAGCTGGAATGTCGCCTCACGACCAGGGCTCAGCCCCTCCAGGGATGTGGGAGTGGCTCTGCTGTCAGGGCCCTGTGCCCAGCTGGGTGGGGTCCTAGGGCCCCATCCATGTGAGGTCCCTTCAGAGTGTGGCCAGTTGCCTCCAACCCGTGCTGCCGGGCACTGGCAGGTGCTTAGGGTTGGGGGTGCAGAGGCAGCATGCTCTCTGCTTCCGTGTGTACCTGCGGTGTCTTTCACATTATTCATTTTTATGGATAAATGAGACATCACAAGATTCAAGATGCTAAAGGGAGAGAGGGCGATGATGTCTGTCACCCAGCCCTGCCTGTCACATTTTTGGGGGTCTATTTTCTTTGTTTGCCAGGTGTTTGAGAGCATGGTGGGGCTGGTGTCCAAGGCGGGTTCCTGCTCTCCTAGCGCCGAGGTGACAAGGCTGGAGGCCCGGTGGGCCTGGGCGTGGCCCACACACTCCCGATAGTTCCAGCCAGGCTGTGCCCACTCCCTTGGAGCCAGTGTTTGGGGTGCCCCAAATCACGGGGTCCTGCAGCGGGTGCCCTGCTCACGGCCTCCTTTTCTCTCCCTCTGCTGCAGACGTGAAGTTCATTTCCAACCCGCCCTCCATGGTGGCCGCGGGGAGCGTGGTGGCCGCGGTGCAAGGCCTGAACCTGGGGAGCCCCAACCCCTTCCTGTCCTACTATCGCCTCACACGCTTCCTGTCCAGAGTGATCAAGTGTGACCCGGTAGGTGACCGAGGCCCTGCCCTCCTCGCTGGCTCTGCAGGGCCTCACAGACAAGAGACTAGTCTAGGACCACGGAAATGGCGTGGCTGGTGCCGGGCCCCCAAGGGTGGCAGGGTTGGAGCCACAAGGGTGGCAGGGCAGAGGCCTGTGCTCAGTGGCACAAGACCATCCAGGATGACCAACCTGAGTGGGGCCTGGGCCCCTCGGACCCCTGGCCACAGCTCAGGGCCTTCCTGTGCCTGAGCAGCTGTGGTGGCCTCAGGCGAAGGGCCAGGGGCTCCCAGAACCTGCTGGCCACACAGGAGGGTCTCCCCAGCGTCTCGCATGCCCCTGGGCCTCCCAGCGCAGGCAGGAGCTGTCACCCTCCCGGTGACCGTCCAGGAAGGGGCCGCAGGCAGGCTCGGGCGGTGATCCGTGTGGCGATGGTGTGTGGGGCCGGGGCCGGCGTGCTTTGTTCGGCCACAATGCGCACGGCCGATAAATAGCCGCTTTAAAAGGGTTCTTGTGAGGTCTGCAGACTCCGGCCAGCAGCGAATAGAGACAACCTTGTTTTTTACGGCTCTTTCAGAGGCTGCTGCTGTAAAACCCGGAGTCGACTGTGTCTTTCTTCTTAAGATGCCATTGTTTTATTCCCAATTCTTTCCTTTTCTTAAAGAAGGAATTAAAATAACAATTACAAGGGTTTGTGGCATTTACCCAATTAGACCAGAGAGGTTGCTGGGGTCAGCCGTCGCCCCCGCTGTGCGTGAGGGAGTGACCGCCTTGACCCCAGCTCCGGTCCGGGGGCCTGCCGAGGCCGGTCTCGGCGCTGGCCTGGGCTGCCCCGTGGTGTCTGCCTAGAGTGCCCAGGGGACGTGTGGGCCCCCGCCAGATGCCATCTCGTGGCGCACCTGTCTGCCCAGTGGTCCCTCCGTCCCTCCCAGGGGCCACGGGGACCTGCTGGCTGCCCAGGCTTCTCTCGTCTCGCCCTGAGAAGGAAGAGGCACTTTTTTGATGGACACTGGGGGTAGGAGGGGGGCCCCTCCCTCTGTGCCACCCTGCCTGGCTTCAGCCTGGGCGGTGGAGTGTCCTCAGTTAGAGGTGCCACTGAGGCCTCAAAAAGCCGGCAGTCGAGATCTGTCTGTGCCTCTCATCCCGAGCCCCGCGCTGGGTGAAAACCGCTGCTTTCCCGCGCTCCTCAGCCCCGGCTGGCTTGGTCCCTGCGTTCCCTGCGGCACCGGGCGAGGCGCCGACCCCGGGCAGTTGCAGGAAACGGCTGGGTTGTCCCTTGTTTGAACGGAGGTTGTCTTAATTGGGTCGGAGTGGCTCACGGCTGACGTGGGGGGCTTAATTGCCGCCCAGTTTGCTCTGGTTTCCAGCGGCAAGTGCAGCTATACCCAGACTCAGACAGACCCTCCGCTTGTTCGAGGACGGTCTCTGGTGGAGGAGATGTCTGTCCCCTGCGGGTCGGGTGTGCTGCGCCCCACGCTAGGGATTGATGGCATGTCCCTTTTCACGGAGTGGTGCTCGGAGCCTGTGGCCATGGGGCCGGACAGAGCAGGCGGGAAGGGCACAGAGCCCGCTCCGTGTTGGGCTTGAGGGATCCTGGCACATGTGGGGCCGCTGGGCACCGGGAGGCCGGAGGACTCCCCTTCCTGCAGCCCTGAGGAGCCGGGGGCAGGTAAGTTGTTGCTCCGGAACACTGTGTGTGAGGAGTCGGGGCGGCCCTGCCTGCCCTGCCTCTTGGGATGGGAGCTAAGGCTGCCTGGTGTTTGGGTCGAAACCTGGGCGGACACCAGGAGTCCTGGGTTCCACGCCAGGCCTTCCGGGCCTCAGTTTCCCCTCCGTGCAGTGGGGCTGTTTGCACTAGCCCTGCTGCCCTTGTTTGCAGTGGTGGGTATTTATCCAAAGGAGGGCGAGCACGGCTCCTGCCAAGGTGTGGAGCTCTGTAAAGGCAGGCGGCCCAGGATTCACCTAGGAGCCATTCCGGCGGGGTCCCCTTCTGCCGGACAGCACCTGCGTCCACCCCTCCTGGGTGGAGGTTTGGCAGTGCCTCCGTGCCCCGTGGTGGGGCTGCAGCTGAGTCCCGTTACCCGCGGGAAAGGCTGCGCTTCCAGGCTAATTAGAGGCGTTGCTTGGTTTTAGAAGCCCCAGTGTAGCTTCCTGGCAGTCGGGACGTGCAGGGCCCGGACACCTGCTCCCGTTGCTTTATTCGGAAGCCGCCAGCAGCAAGAAGCAGCTTGGAGCTGCTGGGAGATTCGCCCCTGGTGGAGACAGGGAGAGGCCCCTGCGCGCAGGGCATCCCAGCAGGGGTAGAGGTGTAGCGCTTCCAGGAGCTTCTGTCACACTCTGCCCGGGGTGGGCACCTCTGTGGCTGCAGCAGGTAGATGCAAGCTCTGCACGGCTGGTGGGTGGCCCAGGACGCGGCCCGAATGGATGAAGGGTCCAGGTGCCCCCCAGCCACGAAACATTCATTCTCAGTCCTGCAGGGCCTAACGCTTTTGACGGCAGCTTATCATGGAAGACGAGCTTCACCTTGAGGGCTGCTGTATGGCGGAGGTTATATCTGAAAAGGCTGGGCTCAAAGCACCCACCCGCAACACACCTGTCCTGGATCAAATGGTGTTGGCGTCAGCGGGGCAGGCACAGAGGGCCCAGGGCCCCCTGGAGGAATTGCAGCAAGAGGCCTGGCCCTGTGTCGCAGGCAGAGCAGCGCGGGTGGGCGTCTGGGGTCTGCGTGGGCCACAGGAGAGCTGTGCGTCAGCCTCACGCTTAGAACAGCCTTCCGGGACATGGCACCTGGGGGGGGGCCCTCGCTGCAGGCCCCCCTAAGGACCGGCTCTCCCTCCTCCCTCCCCACCCTGTCTCTCCCAGGACTGCCTGCGGGCCTGCCAGGAGCAGATCGAAGCCCTGCTGGAGTCAAGCCTGCGCCAGGCGCAGCAGAACTTGGACCCCAAGGCCACAGAGGAGGAGGAAGAGGAGGAGGAGGAGGTCGACCTGGCTTGCACCCCCACCGACGTGCGGGACGTGGACATCTGAGGGGCGCCGGGTGGGCGGGGCGCCACCGCCGCCCAGCGAGGGAGGAGCCGGCCCCAGGTGCCCCCCCTGACGCAGTCCCGCTCCTCCGGGACATTTCACTACCAGAAGGGAAATCTTCATTCTCCCCGTTGTTGGTTGTTTTTCCCTTTGCTCTTTCTCCCTTCCGTCTCTGACTTAAGTGAAAGAAAAAGATTACCCAAAAACTGTCTTAAAAAAAAAGAAAGAGAAAAAATAGTATTTGCATAACCCCGAGTGGCAGGGGAAAAGGGGGGTTGTGCTACAAAAATAGAGGATTTTATACCCCAGTAATCAATTAGCTTAATGTTAATGTGCTCATGTCTTTGTGTCCTAAGAATAGACTTTAACACGAAGGAAGAAGTCTCGGGGGAGGATTAGGTTTGATTCTTCATGTGTTTAAACTTAAAAAGCATAAAAACGTTTAAAAAAAAATAGAAAAACTCAAACCATTTTTAAAGTAGCAGAGGGTTTTAGGTAGAAAAAAACGTACTCTTGTGCTTTTCCTAGAAGGCGCAGCTTTAGTGTGGTTCTAGGCATCTCTGTATCTTGCTTTGCTCACGCATGTAGTCACTTTATAAGTCATTTGTATGTGTATTTTATTTGGTAGGTAGATGTGTAACCTCTTCACCTTATCGTGGTTGATGTAACCTCTCGGCTCGAGTAGCGTAGCGCGCAGCACCTCGCGCGCCCGCCGCGTGGGGTCTGCCGGCCCGGCCGGCGCCGCCCCGGTGTCGGCAAAGCCCAACTCTTCCACTCCTGCGACGCGCTACTAGAAAGAGAAGACGAAATAGTGACATAATATATTCTATTTTTATAATCTTCCTATTTTTGTAGTGACCTGTTTATGAGATGCTGGTTTCTCACCCAATGGCCCTGCAGCCAGCTCACGGCCAGGTTCAACCCACGGCTACTTTTTTATTTTCCTTCTCCGTATTCCAAAACCATTCCATTTCAAAGCACTTTCGGTCCGGTAGTCCTAGGGAATATCGCTGTTCATGTCGTGTGTGGAGGGAGGGCGATTTTCTAATGGAATGGTTCGGGAATGTCCACGGACCTGTGTGCAGGCGGCTCTGGGAGGCAAGTGCAAGTGCATGTCACCGCGGTGTCAGCGGGAGGGCGTTGGGGCAGGCTGTGCTCCAGTCGAGAAGAACAGGATTTGTGTTCTCACACTGCCAGGATGACGAGCTCCTTCCCTTTAAAGAGGTTGAAGCGAAGGGACCCTTTGGTGCCAACTGGTGTTTGAAAGTGGGGACCTCAGAGGTTTACCTAGAGAACAGGTGGTTTAAAGGTTATCTTTAGGTGTTTCACAACGGAAGGTTTTTAAACACTAAGATATATAATTTATAGTTAAGGCTGAAAAGAATATTTATTGCAGAGGATGTTCATAAGGCCAGTATGATTTATAAAGTAATACAATCTCCCCTTGATTAAAACACACACACACACACACCCCTTTCCGCCTTCGATGTTGCAGATTTAATACAGTTTATGAGAGATAGATAGATCCTTTTGTAGGTGAGGGAAAAATGTCTCAAGGAAAACCACACAAAGAAGTTGATTCGGCATTTCCCAAAGCGATATGATCTGAGAGGTATCGGAGTTACAAGGAAAATTAGGGTACTTAAAACATACAGGATACATTCTCATTCCCTCGTATCCCCACTTTAAAAAAAAATTAGCAACAGACAATTTGCACATCTTGGCTATGTCCTTTTTGTAATTTTTATTTAGGAAGTGTTGAAGGGAGGTGGCGAGAGCATGGAAGCTGGTGCGTGGGGGAGGACGGGAGGGAGGGGTGTGGGCAGGAGGCTCCTGAGGGGACGGAGCGGTGACCACACCAGGGACAGGCTGCGGCTCCGTTTTCTTATTGCGCTGCTACCGATGACTTCCCGGCACGGTTTGGAAACAAGTTCACATCGCTTCTCTGTATCTCTTTCACATTGTTTTGCTGCTATTGGAGGATCAGTTTTTTGTTTTACAATGTCATATACTGCCATGTTCTAGTTTTAATTTTCTCGTAGAACGTTGTATTACGGATGCCTTTTTTTGTAGTGTTTTTTTTTTTTTATGTGATCAATTTTGACTTAATGTGATTACTGCTCTATTCCAAAAAGGTTCCTGTTTCACAATACCTCATGCTTCACTTAGCCATGTGCAGACCCGGCGCTCAGGCTCTGTCTGCTGCGGCAAACAGACGTGCGGACGAGACCCCACGCGGGCCTGGTGGGGTCGGCGCCCAGACCGCGTGCTCGAGAACCACGCGGGCGCCCCGAGACCAAGCGGTGTCCGTTTTCTTTCCCTGCGCCTGTTATGCTGGACTCTCCGTCTGATCTGGGATGTATCATCATAGTAGACTTCACAGCTGTATCGTTCTGTGCGTGTAGCTACGAAAGTTGCATTATTATTATTATTATTATTCTTGTAATAACAAGTGTGTCTTACGCGCCACCGTGGTGCTGTGCCCGTAGGACTCTGTCATTCGGGATGATTGGAATAGCTTCTGGAATTTGTTCAAGTTCTGGGTGTGTTTAATCTGTTATGTACTAGTGTTCTGTCTGTCGTTGTTTTGTTAATTACAGCATAATGCTAATTTAAAGAGACTCCCAATCTCAGTGAAGCCAGCTCACAGTGCTGTGTGCCCAAGTCGCCTAGCAAGCTGCCAAACCAAAAGAATTTGCACCCATTTGTGGGCCCACGTGCTGGGGCCCTGGCCCCGCAGGGCGGTCTGTGCCCAGAGGCCATCGCAGGCACGGGCCGCGCCTGTCCCCAGCCCCTCCGGAGCACTGCTCACGCTCCAGCCGTTTCTGGGTGCAGCATCTGTGTCTGAAGCACATGGGTCCCCGCGGACGGTCTGTCTGTAGTGACGGGGTGAGGGCACGTGTCTTGGATGTTTTGTGTGCCGAGAGGCCAAAGGCTGGGGGCAGGTCCACAGGGCACTGCGAGAGTCTCTGTCCTGTGACGCGCACGTCTGTGGGGTCTCTGGCTGGCGGGCAGTGTGGGTCTGCGTGTTGCACGCTGTGGCACTTCCCAGCACGGACATGTAACCGGCACGTTTCCAGCAGAAAACAAAAGACAAATGTGGAAAGTCTAGAAATAAAACTGGTAAAACCCCAGTGCAGTGTCCGCCTGTTTATTTCCTTGGCTGCCAGGTGTGTGGGGACCAGGGAGGGGTGGGGCCAGGTCACCTGTCCTGTGCACTGTAGGAAGTGCAGCAGCATCCCTGTCCCCCACCCACTAGATGACAACCAGGAATGTCTCCTGACTGCTAGATGTCCCTGGGGGCAAGGGCGGACTCTACCCAGGCACAGGCTGTGCTCTCCCAGCTGGGAGGAAACCTGGACCCTGGGAGGCTCCAGAGAAGAGTTTGCAGGTGGCCTAGGTGGGCAAGGAGCCCCCTTCTGCGTCAGACAGCGGCTCCTGGCCTGCGTGACATCTTCCGGCCCAGCTTGCCGTCCCAGGTTATTTGCAGATAGGAAAGTAAACACAGCAGCATTCGTTCGTTACCCTCTCCTGGCGCAAACTGCTGTTTGCTCTGAGTGAATCATGGTCCTCAGAGCAAAGTGCCGGGCTAGGCCGAGGTCCCAGCACCTTTCACACGGGTCCCAGGAGCCTGTCGGACGGCTGGGCCATCTTCACACGCCAGGGCCCTGGAACGCATCACAGACCTTGGTCACAGCCTCACTGGCCTGGGCCTCCCCTCAGCCCTGACCCCCCAGCTCTCCCCCACCTCATCTGTAGCAGGCTGAGCTGTCCTCACCCTGGGCACCTGTGTCCTGAGCTAATGCGGTCACTATTTGCCAGCCCAGGTCAAACCCCCGTGGCCTTTGTGGTGGGCACGTGTCATGTCCCTCCCTGCTCTGCCCATCGGTCCTCTGGGTGCTCGCGCTGGGGACCGGCATGGCTGGCGTGGTACTTCTCCATGGGCACCTACACTGCTGGAAGGAAGGTGGGCACAGGGGGGGACAGCTGGGGGTCACCACCAGCCTCTCCCCTGAGTGTGGGGCCCCGGGCGGGTGGGTGGGGGAGTCCGCAGGGTGCCCCTGACAAGAGGTCCCATCCACAAGACCTCCAGGGACAGGTGGAGCCAGAGGAGGTGCCAGCAGCCACTCAGGTGGCCCAGGAGGGCCCCAGCCACTCGTGGGCAAGGCTCCCTGAAGGCAGGGAGCAGGTCCCCACTGCTGCAGCCACCTGGCTCCGGGCGTGGCCATGTCCTGTGTCAGGGCTGGGGACACGCGGAACGGACATCCTGCCCTCAGCCTGTCTCCCCACAGCATGTGGCTGTAGTGGGGGGGCTATGGGGTCCCCAGTGATGGCCTCATGGGTGAGTGGGGGGCCTCGGTGGTTCAGGGGCAGCAGGGGGCGGGGGGAGGAGGGAGCAGGAGAGCTGCCCTGCAGGCCCAGGCAGTGGCCGGTGGAGAGCTGGGTTCCAGAGCTCTTTGCTGTCAAGTCTTTTAAGACGAAAGAGAGACCTGCAGACCTGCGGCTGCTAGGAGCAGGAGCGAGGCATGGGCTGCGGGAGACGGAGCCCACGTGCCCAGTGGAGGGCTCGGCAGGGCCAGGGTGGGCGCACCTGGGCGACGCGGCAGGAGGCAGGACGAGCGAGGCGGGCGGTGGCCCCGCGTGGGACACTTGGGCCTCACACCTGCGTGTGCAGAGGGAGGAAGGGACCCTCTCCCCAGGCCCGTCTCTCCCTCTCGGCATCCCACAGCGGGACGAGGAGGGGCCCTATAAGGCTTCCCCCTGGGTTATGTAGCAAGACGCCCCGGTTCCCAACTCTCAGACTCAACCGACATCACCCCGGCACCTGCGACCCCTCTTGGGATGTGGCGAAGGCCACGCACGCTGCCGGGCTGTCTGGCACCCATGTTCACGGAAAGTGGCCTCGGAATAACCTCGGAGACAAAGCCTTCGGCTCTCCCCGCTGCCCCATCTAGAAGCTTTTATCACGAGGCCCCATTGCCCCACCTACTCCTGACCAGCAAGGCAGCCGCATCCACGCTCCACCCTCTCCTAACCCTCCCCGGCCTGCCCATGTCCTTTCGGCTCTGTCCCAGGACCCTGAGACCTGGCCTATCCCTCCCAGCCTCCCCGTCCTGTGCCTGTCCCACTGCCCGGCTGCAGTGCCCCCTGCCCTGCGTCCCTCAGGCCCAGGGTAACGTGGCCTCTCTGAAGCCTTCCCGCCCCAACACCAGGCGGGTGGCTCTGGAGTCCAGGGATCCTGCCTGGCATTTGCCGTGCCTGTTGAGCCCCTGGGGGACCAAGGCCACTCAACCCTCTCTGCCTCCCTCCTTGGCCGCAGTGA